GCTGGTTTACTAATCACCCGAGAAAACGCCGCGATTACAATCCCGTGGAATGTGCTTAGAGCCGTCGTTTCGAAAGGCTTCTACTCTCACGTTCTAGCGGCCGTATGTTTTTACATATGTATATTCGAGGTGATCGCGTGTACCTCGCTATGTGCACCGACTGCAGGAATTTGTCTAAGACCAGCAGGATCGCTTTTAACACTAAATTACTGGTCTTAAAGGCACCTTTTTACAAATATTTCACGCGGTATTGAATAATACGCGAAACAATTGCGTATAATTTTACATTCGCTATGTAAAATGTAGCGAAGTCAAGTGCCTCACCTTGTACATGAAGTACCTCGTGCACTGTTCCCGACCTCCTTAGATCAGAGAATGTTCGATATACTCGTTGGAATTGTTTCGAAACCGTTCGCATTATCCTAAGGAATTCCATGTAAATCATAAAGATTAATATTACGCGTAATTCGATTAACACCGTATATGGTTTGCTGATCTTGAATGGAGAACGGTATTTAGTGCGACTATAGTTGGGTGATTTTATGGCACGATCAGGAATCGATCGGAGTCGTTAGCTCGTGGAAATGTGCCTATTATCAATGGAAATATCAACGATACATTGAAACGAACAATTCGTGCAATTTGTGAATCACGATTATTGTTGATTTCTAGATAAAATTAATTTAATTAAGTTGATTCAATTCGTACATTTCTCGCAAACACAAAAACCGTCCACGTGGAAATGACGTTTTCGATCATTGAAAATCTCTGAATTCAAGTCTTGGGAGCCATTAAATATTTGCCAACAATCTGCTTGGGGAGGTTGTATTTAGAGCTTAGTCTTTAACCCTTGTCTCTTCGATCAGCTTGAACCGGTTTGATTACTAAGTTCTTCTGGCAATGTGAAGTCATACTATGCGACACGAATTTACGAGATCGATCGGATAGATATAAATATTTTCGAAGCATGTTTAATAAAGGTGACATAATCCACTCCTTTGACCATACTCAAACGATATGAAAGTTGATACCCTTCCTTCGGCTACTGACTGCTAGTTGATATTGAGCAACGCAACGAAGGGAAAGGTATCCTTCTTATTTATTCGATCATTCCCATTTTTTCAATGGAGTTTCACCAATCGTCGAAGATTTCTTATATGTTGCGAGTAAATAATTACTAAAACAATCGCTTAGAATAAAGCCCAAGAAAACTATGCAAAAAATGAATGATGAGAAGACTGAGAAAGCAATTGAAACGCGAACGATTGACATTGTACCAAGATGCAGAGATCTCTCCAGTTGTTACTGTTATTGCGAACCGGTGAATGGAGTACGTACACAAGAAACGTACGTATTCGTGTTGGACACGCTGCTCGGTGTAAGTGGAGCCGTGTATACAGCGATAACGTTATCGAAACTCATTATATTGACAATCGTGGCGATTCGAGGAATCGCTCTTTGAAGCGACATTGTTATCTGGCATGGAGAAAGCCTTCGATATCGAAACGTTGTTCGGTGTGTACGGGGCAACGAAAGGGGCTAATCCATTGACTACCGTGGATCGTAATGGCACACTAAGAAGGAAACTGCTACCGCCTATCGGTGAAGGAACGTACATACAAATGGCAGATAGAAAGTGCACGGGATCGGTTACTTTCGTTACCAACTCGCGAAGAAACGTCCAGTAGAAATTTCTGTTCCTCTATTACGTAACTATTTTTCCTTTCAGAGTTCGATACAGTATTTTACAGTATTTTATTGGACCGATTCATGGATAACTTTCGCTACAGATAACAAATAATCATGTCTTATTAGTTATTGCGTAGGAATATACTTGGAAATAAATTGTGAATTGATCTTTAGAAGCCTGATTTTCCAAATTAAATTTCAAAGAATGTTTGGATAACAATCTCGCTCGTCTCTGTTTTCTAGCAACTAAAAATGCTATCGAGCAAGTTCAAATAATGTGTATATGTATATGCGACGTTTGTATTCGTAATCACTTTCCTCCCCTCGACGATGACTAACCGATCCTCTGACACGCGTAGGTCGCGCGACTTTCTTGCAAATACACAAATCGCGTGTGTAAACCGGCATCGCAATCGTCTGGAATAATAATTTTGCGCTGCGATTTGTTTAAGTACGCGGAAATCGAACGGGATCGCATAATTTACGATATTATTTTTAGTCATGCGTGACTCACCCCGAGCAACAGAAATTCGTTCTGCGCCAACAGCAACATCGTTTCGATCTATCGCGCTGGAAACAATCGTCCGTATTGCAAACATATGTTTTGAAAATTGAAAAAAAATCTACGAGCTTGTCTTTTAGTTTATCGAAAAGAACGGATTGTTAGGTAGTAAAACCTCGACGGCAAAGTCATCTTCTTGTAGAGCCGTTTTTACTTACTTTTTCCGTGTTTCCACCTAACTAAGTCATGGGAAAATTTTACATTATTGTTAAAACAGCTGTATTAGTATTCTCTAATTCCATCTTCCATGTATGACTTCATAAAGTGAGAAAAAAACTAGATTTTCCCATTCACTGGGAACCCCAGTCTCGTAGAACGCGAAGACGAGACTAAATAGAAAGAATTTTCATCATTATAACGCACTTAGTCCGTTAATAGCCCCTAATAGAAATACGCAGGCTTCCCATACGCGTCGTTAGACAGCAATGTGCAAGAATGCAGAATGTAGAACGTTCATTTTGCTATCTCTGAATACAATGTTGATAACCATAAATAAAGTTCTCTTTCGAGGTCTGAGCAGTCCAACTATATTTCTTCGAAATCAAGTTTCATCGATAGCAAAGAATCGGTGACAAGGATTTAGACTAACCTAACCTAGGGGATTTCAGAGTCGAACTATGTCCTCGAAGAGCGCGCAATGAAATCACCGTATTCATGGATTACGAAGGAAAATGTAGGCTCCTTGCATCATTCGACCTTTGGGTCTACCTTGTTCTTCTAACGCTTCGTTTCGATGCAACTTTCGTTATTCGGAAAGGTCGAGGAGAATGTACAAGTGGTGGAGATTTTAAAATTCAACAAAGAGAAACGGTAAGCGTTGCTGTGAACGGCGAAACGTTTTTATCGATTTGGTAATCGGTAGAAGCCATCGCTTATCTAGAATCTGCGTACCCTGCTTGCGGTTCATTTCTGAAATCTCTCGTATCTTCCAACTATATTTATTATATTTCACATTGAATGATCGAAACGTAAATGGACGCTCGATTGAGACTTTCATGCACGCATGCTTCTTTACAAAATTAATTTTTGCGCAACGTCTTACGAGTTTCTCTCGTTGCAAAGCAGCGTAACATTGCAACGTAACATTGTCGTACCATTAAAGATCAAGGGCGTCACGTGCACGATAGTCAAAAGGCCATTAAAAACCAATAAGGATTGTAGCATAAATACTCCAAACATGCTCTTTATAATGTCACTAACGCGCATTTTCAATAAATCCAAGTGCTTTTTCTCCAATCGAAATGGTAAAAATATCTGAGCAATAAACAATGGAAAATAAAATTCCTGGAATGTAGACTACAGTACAAGTCAATGAATTCTGAATCGTATCTTCTTTCCCGTCCTTGGTTCATTTTTTAGTTTATTCTTTTTTTTTTTAAATAAGCGGTGGAATCGATTTCATTTGCGAAATCCCTTGGCGCCATCGCGTTATCCTGTTCCGTTTGGGAAGGTGTCGATGTCTGACACGTTCGCGAGGCCGAATCTCCCATTTATACGGCCTATTCGCGATGTAGACATAATCGTGGCGTGGCTGCATAACGGTAAAAACAGATCGGCGTGCATTCACTTTTCCCCATTCCATGCACATGCAGTTGAATGCATACGCGCAGACGAAGATAGCCGCGGGCATGCAATACCTTTTAAACTGACGAGTCATTGATCCATCCATTCGCGGTGTACAAATAACTCTAATGGAATTACCCTTTCCTTTCGGTGTTACGCTCCGCGAGAATACAGTCGATCTGCATCCACCTCGATTCCCTTTCGATTTTCGGACGAATGGACCGAGCAAAAATGAAATTCGAAAAATAGAGTAAAAATAAGCGTGGAATAAGAACGATAGAAAAATTAACTCTTTCGGAAACGCTGATAGATACGTGCAGCTTCGATTTTTCAGTTTCTCAATGATTCTGGAGGGCCATTAATTGTAAAAAACCTCGACCAATTGGTTGTCTCAGTTTAAAGACTGAAATATATTGTTTCCTGGAGTCTCAGTTCCTTCTTACAAGAGCCCCAAAGTATGGAGATCAAAATTTCATACTAATTAACCATGCATCTGAAGTTTCGAGCAGCTCCGTCGCAGGAAATGCCTATCTGTTAAATAAGTTTCCGGAACGTAACAGATGCCATCTAAGCAAATAGCGTCTATTAAGGTCGAAAAGTAGGCTACCGCCACGACCAAAGATGATTCAGTGCTGGAGTGAAAGCTCTAACCATCGTAGCTGAGTGCAAACTTTGTGTCGTGATTTCTTGCTTAAGAACTAATAATGTCACGTCTAATACTCGACCTATTAATACTTAGCTCTTCGATCATTCACATTATGAAGCACCCCACTGCAAGTCGAGCATCCTCCATGTTTCTTCTTCTATATACATCTTATCTCTCCTGTAGATAAACCAAGTATATGATTCGCTACAACACGGTCATTAACACATTGTTGACCGGCAATTTTACACAGAAGCGACTTCGTGTCACCGGCTATTATTTCGTAATTGAATGTGAAATTAAAACAATTTAAATAAACTTCAATAAACTTTATTTATATTTTACCAACGTAGCGAATTGAAATGAAATATTTCACATACAAGAGTTAACTCGTGACCGATCAACAATGTGCTAATTGAAAGATTGAAACTCAGCTACCTCACGTTCCAAACTCGACGTCTCACCCTGTATATTTCAATCTTACGCCTCGCGTTTATCGTCGACGTAATAATTACACGCATATTGTTATCTTCTTGTTTCCAGACGTTTCCGATGCGTCGAGCCTCGAGAGGAAGGTGACGAGCAGGTTTCAGACGAGAATCTTCGCGATAACTCGAACGAATCCCGCAAGAAACCGCATTCAATAAAAAGAAAATGGTCACGATAAGCCAGAGACGAAGGCATCCTCGGTGGGGAATGCTCTTCATCGTCATCTTCTCCGTTCTCGTCAGGCACTGCGAACTAACTCCTGCAAAAAGATTAACCGACTCGAGTTCGTCCTCCTCGTCGTCCACGTTATCGAGAAGCTCATCCGAATCGAGGTCGCAGAACCTAGGTTCGCCTAGCGACTTGGCCTGGCAGGCTTGGCTCCTGTTGGACTCCCAGACAGGAGTCCACTCCAGCTTGGACTCGGCCAGCTTTCTTCGACGAATAACCCCGAAGAGCGTGTTCATCGCTCCAGCGTTACCAGCGTTACCCCCATGCGCGGAGGGTTACCGTGCAGACACCATGGGCAGGTGCGTGAAAAGCGTGAACATCGACCAGGAAGCTCACTTCGGTTTTCTTCTTCAACGACTCAACAACAGATACGGCAATCGAGGCACTTCCGATTCTGGCTCCAACAACAACCAGAAGAAATCCAACGGGCCTCTGCAACTCAACATCCCTCTGTTCCCCGACGCGTTCCCTCAGTCGTCGAAACTCGACCACGAAGAGACCAGGGACTCCGTGAAGATCCCAATTGTGGTGCCCCATCGCGAGGAAGTTAGCTCGGCCGAGAAGAAAGAGTCTTCGTCGCTTGTTAGCCCTCATCGAACTAAGAATGGTACCAGGTTGGACCAAGACGACGCCATGTATTTCCCTGGGAGCTCCAGTTCCTCTCCATCGAGCAAAGACGACGAGAAAACTTCCTCGAAACACGACGACGTGATCCAGGTAGCGGAGTTCGTCGACAACGTGAACGAGACTAGCTTCTCCGAGGTGGTCGACTATAAAATCCCTCTTGATCTGAAGAAACACTTGAACATATCTGGCTTGAGGATCATCAACGTCAGCGATGATCAGGACGTTTGGAAGAACGGATCACTGTTTAATTCGACGGAAGCTACGCCCATGTTGATCCTCCTCCCGTCGACGGCGACGACGCTCAGAGAGGAGGATCTGGCCTTGGACAACGGTACGAACCATCACGCGAGCGTTGGGGTCCACATCGTGACCAGGAACGTCACCGATAAAGAGCCTATCGGTGCGGATGTTCCGGAATCTGTATCCCCTAACAAAGTGCTCGACGTACCACTGACCGTGGTAGGAAGAATCGAGGCCAACGAAACGCGGGATGGTAACTCGTCCGATATTTGGAACGCGGGTGGTAGAGATTCGCAGGAGACAGAGTCCTTCTACGACGACGATGAAGCGATCGAAGACTACATCGACAGCACGGACTCGCCTGACGAGGACTCGGCAGAGGCGGAAGGTGGCGAGATTTTAAAACACGGAGAGGCTGGCATGGCCATCAACGTGAAGGACATTAAACGACTGCACATGGACAAGCAACGACAACAAACTGAACGTCTGAACACGTCGAAGAAAAACGAAACCTCGAGGTTCGACTTGTTCGACGACGTTGCGATACGTTTCAACGATACCACGCCAGCAGACAAAGAAGGAAACGACGAGGCTGGTAGCAACGTATCCAGCGAAGTCACCATCAACGACGACATCATCCTGGAAACCACTCTTCTGGATGTCACCACGGACAAAACGAAGAACGGTTCGAAAGTACCCGACGTTAATCGCACGAGCAACATCGATGACAGCGACGAGTACTTGAGAGAACTGTTCGAATCGAGCAAAGAGTCCCATTCGGAGCCCCAAGTGGCGTACTCCTCTCAGAACGTTCACGGGACCGTGTCTACCAACGGAAGAACGCGAACCGACCAGGAGAAGACCGATCAACGACATGTGGAAGATCTCAAGAGCGACGAGCTGGAAGCAGCTCCCTCGTCCTCCGAGTCCCTTCTGTACGATCCTGGCTTCCGGGACCAGTACTCCGAAGACGACCCTATCACGGAGATTCACATGATCGACGAGCCTTCTACCGACGGCAAGGAGTTTATGAAAAAAGCCAAAGTCTCCTTCAAGACTTTCGAAACGGAGACGTTGAATTTCAGAGCTGCTCCGAGTAACAGACACTCCTCTGGCTATCCTAAGCAACCGATAAAGTTCCCATCGGAGGACGTGAACAGTATACACAATCAAGACTACAAGGAGAGAGTTCCCTATCCCCTGGACGATGGACTACATTCCAGCACGAAGAGCAGCGTCTTCCCTCATCAGAAACCCTTCCACCGAGGAGCGTCGCTCTGGAGAACGTCGCCTCGACAACAGGCGCCAGGTCAGCAGCTGGAGACGACAGGAAGCAACCAGAGACAGAGACAAGCGCCGAGTTCCATGTCGTTTTGGACGACGATGCCACTGATGAGGGATCCGAGTCTTTACTCCACCAACGAGGATTCGCGCAGCAAAACGACCAACGGTCAACCGTACACCAACAATAGATTCCCCGAGGTCTCGCCATCCTGAAGGACCGATCTACGCCACGCATTTAATCGCCGCATGATCCAAACGAGACTGCTCGCATTGAAATCAGGGACACCCATCGGTGGATAATGGAGTTTCGCCGTGGTTTTCTTGGTGTTTTTCACGCCATGTTGCTCTCAGTGGGAACGTCTACAGACTGTGGAACTGTGCCAAATAAATTAAGAGTCGTGAACTCTTGCCGACTAGCAATCTGCGTGCCACCCGATTCGTTCGACGAGAACTGACGGACGGGTCGATTGATCGCATAGTACACGCGTACTTGCAATTGAAGTAACGAACACGCGGGAAGAAATCGTGCGGACGCATACCGTGGCGCATCCGTTGCGTAATCTCGTTACAGAACCTTTACTCGAGTAACGTTTTGAAGAATTTACAAGCGATCGTACACCGATGGAGAGGAAACGAATACCAGATCCAAGGATGAGATTGGGAATCAACTCCTCGATTCGTGAGGATCGTCCAATTCACGATAGCGAGAATGCAAAAGCATCGTTGCATTCTTCGAACGCATACCTAACGTCACCAGCGACCGCAAGTCTTACGCTCTTCCACCGAACGTTCGTTCAGGCCTAATCTTCGCTGCTTCCGATTCGATTCGACTAAAGTCGCGTACCGATAAAAGCGATTTGTATATGTATATGTACGTATATGTATATTTCACTTTCTTTTTATACTTTCCTATCCAGCAGTTCGTAGTGTTTGTTCGAAGAAAACTTGCGTAGGCCTAATTTGTCGATTTAAGAGTCTTCTTTTGGTAAGATTGATAGTATTAACGGGCGTTAATATCCTTGAGCTACTCGTGCGTAAAGGCTAAGATCACACGACATCGTCTTTTTTTTTTTCTGTTTCTTTCAACGCAACTATTACCGATAGGCAGTGGTATCGTACTATGATTAACGAACGATGAATTTGTTTATTTATTTCTCGTTGCGTTACTTCGCTCGTGTGGCCTCAGTCATGTGATCAGCAATCCAAAATGCTCTTTAATCAAATTGTACTTGTAGAGTTAATGCTTCGATTTAAGGATTCATTTAACGAAATTCAAATACCTTTAGAGGCTTTCGTATACTCGATACGGTATTATGTTAATAAGGAAAAAGTCAGTACTACTTTAGGCAGAGAAAGTGATAAACTAGCGAACTAAAACGAATTACGTAATTCTGCTGTTAGAATTCAGTCAACACCTGGAGCTTTCTACGATCAGGTGTACCGGAATGTTTCAGACAAAACATTCAAGACTGATGATTATTGTGAAACTGGGCGTAAAACGCTTGGTCAACGTAGCCACGAGCAGCCGAAAATGGGGAACGCGTATTTTTAACTTTTGTAATTCAAGTTTATCCATTTGAGGCACTGGGACAAACCCCGTCAAATTGTTATAAATATGTTTAAAAATTGTCATATCGTCGAAATAATACTGGATGGCTCGCTATATTTATTTTTAATACATCTGTTTCTGCGCTCTGAAACGTGATATTGGTATCAGAAAGAAATTGTGTTAAGTTTAATACATCGTAAAATTTAGAGCGCCTATAGGAACCCCCGGGGTGAGGGATGATACTTCCGAAGTCTCACCTCTTTGATATTATCTTCAAAACTACCGGACATGTAAGGAAATTTTCTAGGCAAATTGTCTGATGATACTTTGAAATTAACATTGTGAACACATCAGCGACGAAAATTAATAAAATAGTAAAAAAATCACTGTCGTACATTACACATGTAAAACTATAATTTTTTAGCTTTCTTATTAATTTTGTTATCGACATGTACACCATGTTATTTTCCATCGAAAAGAACGCAAAATTTGCTTTGCAAAACTTTCTTTATCTTCCGAAGTTTTCAAAATAGCATCAGAGAGCTAAACTATCTGTTACTTCCATCTGCAACTTCACTCTCTGCTAAATGAACGAGAGTCTCGTGCAATCTCGTTGCATTTATAGAAATTCTACTGTACTACATGCGTACCCCGATAAATCTCAAACTCTTTTTTTAAACACCTTGTACAGAGTTCCACAACAACGCAAATCTAGATTCCTCCGCAACCTTGCGAAAGGTCACAATGCAAACTCTTTCTTGAATACCTTGTACAGAATTCTAGAACAACAACGAAATCAAGAATTCCTCGGTCCATCTTGCTAGAGGTCAGAATGCAGTGATTCAGAATTTTCGAAAAATCTCTTTATTTTTAGCGTTTGTACCCCTTATGCGTCATCGGACACCTCGTGGCACGCAACCAGGAATACTTTCCCGGGATATCACGCTGTTATACAGAGAACATCGACACGTGGAATGTCTGTTATGGAAACAAACGGACTTGCAAGACGACGGACAAGGTCGCGCTTACTCGTTCAATCGTGAACGAAACGTATACACAGTACGAAATCGTACACCGAAAATCGTAGCTCGCCGACCAACTAGATATCGGTACCGGAAAGCAAAAATTTTTCTTTTTGTACAGTTATCGATAGACGAATCAACGTTTGCGAATAGGATACACTGTAGCTTAAACTTGCTTTCGTAATGAGAAACGAAGATAACGCGAATTTGTGGTGACGAGAGAACTAGGGTAACTAACAAGGGAACGTCCTCGATCGAATGTCGAGCCTTGCGAAGATCACATTTAAAATATCGGTGTATTACATACGCACGTATGCGCGGAATCTGGGTTCACGAACTCAATACAATGACCCTATATGACTCTGGTATATCGAATCAGACTGATTTTAGCGGTATTGCTTTATTTATAGAATACAAAATCACAATCTGTCACGCAGTCTCGAGAAGTATGCTATTCTCTTTAGCAACGAAATATTGACATTCAGCTTCATCGCGTGCGTCATCGTATTTACTCTTGTTTGGAGAAGCATAAAGTGTTGTAACAATGTTAATATTTTGAACAGGATCAAACCAGTTTCATTTATAGTCTTAACCTTTTTATTTAAAGCAAGTTTAAATTATTTTGATCTGTGGTCCAATTTAAAGACAAGCGACAATTTTTTTTGCTCTCAAATAACAAAACACACTTTCAACATTTTATGTATCTCCAACTTAATCGAGTCCAAACTTACACCTACATTGTATAACGAAAACGCGTATATACATAGTATGAATGTTTCAATGTGTGAATTTATCATTGTTTCAGATCAATGTTTTGAAAGTAATGCTCAGACCAGTCAGGATCGATCGTCTCCGATATTATTAAGCTACACGGCCATCATCGAAATCCTATTCTTTTACCTTTTACATGTGCAAAAACTTGGAACATGTAACCCTTTGGATTTTATATGAAATAAAATTCTTTACTCTAAACTATCCCATACAAATAAGAAAAGAAATTATGTATCTGTCGTCGTGGCCAGTAATTTTTATTGCTCTACGTACGCTTCGATGTGGTGTGTAATCTCTCTTTCTCATACATTGAATGTTAATTTATGTACATATTAATTTTATTAAGAAGATTTGTATATACAGCGTAATTAAGAAGCATCACCAGCATCTTAATGTGTATTAATTGTAACTGTTTTAAATACTATTGTATTATTTATAGCTAAATATATCGATGTATATTATATTTGTCGTGTTGTGTAGGAGTCTGCTAGATTGCAAATGGAAGAAGTTATAAAATTATTCGATGTTGGTCTTATACCAAAATATTGTGCTTTGTTATCATTTATAACCTGTCCAGGCATGATACATAATAGTATTACAAATCATTTTATCCATTAAGCAATTTTTATTGTATATATCTTAATTATTAATGAAACTACATGTTACACTTTACTATCAGATGTAGCCTTTATTCCTTTAAATCCCCTACCTAGGAGAAATTTTTCTGTAGATTCATCTCTTGTAGCTTGTGGTCTTACAATCTTAACAGTTTTATAAAATTTTAGTATATCTTGCTCCAGTTTTTTAGACATTCCACCATCCCATACTTTACAAAGAAATGTTCCATCCACTTGTGTAACTTGTAAAGCAAACACAAATGCACTGTATGCAAGTTTTATTATGTTCTCATGATCACAGTCTCGTACACCAGATGCATTTGGTGCCATATCCGATAGAACTACATCTGCTTTGTTACCTTCTAGTAATTCCATAATTCTTTTTTGTGATTCTGCATGAGTAAAGTCCAGTGGACACAGTAAGGTTGCACCTTCAACTGGAAATACTGGCAGTTTGTCTATCCCTAACACAGTACCAACAGGATTGTCAGTTTTGGCATTTGCATTTGTTAGATTAACTGCAACTTGTGTCCAGCTGCCAGGTGCAGCACCACAATCGATCACAACCTGCCCAGGTTTTAATATTTTGAATCTATCATTTATTTCTAATAACTTGAATGCGCTTCTGCACCTATAATTAAGTTGCTTAGCCTTTTCTACATAAGGATCTTGTAACTGTCTCGTAAGCCATAATTGCGAACTGTGTTTCTTCCCCTTCAAATTTTCTGGCGTTTCACGAAATAATGTATTACAAGTATACAAATTTCTTACGAATAGAAAATTCCCAATTCTCTTCATAGTCGGTCATAAATATAACCTAAAAAATGTAGTTTAGAAAAGGAGTTCTTGGTATCGGAATCCTGTGCAGATGTACTTTATGAAAACACGTGTTATATATCTCATGCCCCGTTATCACAATTTTATTTCAATAACAATTGTGGGTTATACGTAAAAGAATTAATATAAGAAAATTGTTTTTACACACCATTCACATGCTATAAACGACTGTAAATATTGTTAATTTCAGTGGCGCCATCGGTGGAAAAACGCTCAAGTTTGTAACGAAAATAGTTCCGACCTTTTTCCTAAAATGGCGCTACGTGCCATCATTGCTGTGGCCATCTAGCGTTGAAGAGAACGAACTAATTTTCGGAGTTCGATCAGCGCCTTTATCGGGAAAACGCTCAAGTTTGTCCTCGAATAGTTCGTTTTTAGACTTTACTGCTTCACTGGCTAGATGGCAACATTTTGAGTACTTTTTACCGACACAATCGGTAAATTACCATCGTGTCGGTAATTATCATTGAATAGCGCCATCTAGCGGAGAAGATAGGAACTATTCGAGGACAAACTTGGGAGTTTTCCCGGTAGAGGCGCTGATCGAACTCCGAAAATTAGTTCGTTCTGTTCAACGCCAAATGGCCACAGTATAATGATGGCACGATTCGCCATCTCAAGAAAATGGTCGGAACTATTTTCATTACAAACTTGGGCGTTTCCCCACTGATGGGGCCACTGGGCCAGGAAGCAGAAAACCGAGAACGGTCGCTGTTTCACCAATAATAGTGTATTATTGTACATCAATGATCATTGCGTAACGTTAACTTTATCGCAAAATATTATCTTAGATACGTTTCGTTACATAAAGCACATATTAAGCAATAAAACCACTACTGAGCTTGTAAATTACAATTTATTAAATATGGTATACACATTTATATGTACGTATGCTAGTTGCTATAAACATTTTGACACATTTCATTTTTTTATCTATTTTCCCCTAATTTCAAAGTAAATTCTTTGCAATATAGAATGGCCGTAATATTATTTTCATAAATACACATATTTACACATGGCCGCTACTATTGCCGGGGAAGATTGATGTGGTTTTTCAAAGGAATTTAATGAAATAAAGTTTCAAAGTTTAAGGAAATAATGCAATCTTAAGTTTTTACGTTTTGTTTGCAAGAAAAACCACATGTACAAAATTCCTAAAATAGAAGAGGAAGAGACTCGCGATATTTGTGACATATCGATATCTGGATTGCGGACACATCGATTTTTCGCGTTAAAGAAAAAAAATATACTGCTTACAATTTCGACTCTATTAAAAATCGATGATTTGCAAATGCGTAAAGTAACACAATTTAAAATCGTACTATACACAAATATACAGGACATCTCATTGTCACCTTTCGTACCTGGATAGAATAATATTTTCTTGTATAATTTATGCTTACTCAACTACGCCTTACTGAACACTTCAACGATCAGACTTACTACAACAACATAGTTGTTGGATTCTCCATTAGGCTCTTGAAAGCAGCTAACCATTGCGCGCCAACCGCACCATCCACGGTGCGATGATCGCAGCTGGCAGTGACAGACATGTATTGGGCAGTCGTAAATCTTTAAGAAAAATGACCGAAGAATTAGATGGAACATATCGATAACCAAGAAAGTACTTAAAAGTACTTACCCTTTCTCATTCTTGGCAGGTATTAGCCTGGTTTCAGTGGTACCTACAGCAAGGATTATGGATTGGGGAGGATTTATAATAGCAGAGAAATTTTTAATGCCAAACATTCCCAAGTTTGACACAGTGATAGTTCCTCCTTGAAATTCTTGTGGTTGTAATTTTCCCTCTCTTGCTTTCGCTGCTAACGCTTTCACATCTTTACTAATTTGAACTATACCTTTTGTGTCTGCACCAAAGACTATAGGTGTAATTAGACCATTATCCGTACTTACTGCTACGCTTACGTCAACATTGTTGTACCTTGAGGGAAAAGAAAAAGATAAAGAAAAAGAACAAATAAACCATCGCGATAAGGCAAATGTAACATATTAGCGACAGTACCCGTCTATGGATAATAAGTTACTTACTGTCTAATAACGTCACCCATCCAGGCACTGTTACCTTCGGGTACTTTTTTACACGCCATTGCCATTCCTTTAATGATAATATCGTTAACACTGAGCTTCACTTTATCTTTCTCCAGCATTTTGTTAAACTGTTCTCGCATTTCAAGAGCTGCATCCATTTTTATATCTATCGATAAATAATAATGTGGGATAGATTGTTTGCTTTCCAGTAGACGTTTAGCAATTACTGCCCTGATATTAGACACAGGAATATCCATTCCTCCTGGAATGCCTGAAACACCTGCCATTGGTGCTGGTTGGCCAACAATAGCTGGCCCAGCACCTTCCAAGTCTTTAGATGTTATCGACCCGAACAATCCTGTGCCTTTCAAGCCCTTAAAAGAGGAAAAAATAGTAAACGCGATTACAATGGACAAATTCCAGGGATTAACATAAAATTATTTAATCACCTGTAAACTAAGACCTTTCTCAGCTGCGAGTCGTTTAGCTAGCGGACTAGCGTATATTCTATCTCCAGAGGTTGTAGACAGTTTTGTTGCTGCAGGTGCCGGTGGTGTTATGGGAGATGGGGGTGGAGTGGAGGGCATTGGGGCAGCTGCAGGTGCCGCTGCAGCGGGTGGTGGAGCGGCCGGGGAATCATCTTTAAAATCTTTAAAGGCATCTATGCTAGCTGCATCCGAGACAATGATACAAACAAGTTTGCCAATAGGAACACTTTTTGCTCCCGCCGGCACCAAAATTTTTGCCAGGTAGCCTTCTTCTGGGGTTTCAAAACCCATAGTTGCTTTATCAGTTTCAATTTCTGCAAGTAAATCCCCTTCGTTTAACTTGTCACCTAAAATACAATAAAAAGATTAGTAAATTACTTCTTACATCTCTGATATCAAACATACGAAATTGTTCACCTTACCTTCCTTTTTTTGCCAACTAACAATGGTGCCTGTTTCCATGGTAGGAGACAGCGCTGGAAGTTGTACTCTGACATGGTCTGGCAAATCTGCGTAAAACCTTTGTTGCTGCTTCCACGGAGTCGCCGTAAGGCGTAAGGTATTGTGAACCTGAATTCTGTATACCAAGCAAGAAAGCACTGTTTTACTTCTAAAGTTAATTTTCAAGTGTCACCCTTAACATAAAGATTGATTTACATCTGCGAGAATTTTGGATGCAAGGATTAGTTGTGCAAAGATATTGGTGCAAACTAAACCATGCAGTAATGAAAAAAATTGAAACAATGGAAAAGATTACCACGTATAATAACTTGATTTACATAACATTCGCAACGTTAAATCGTAACAAGAGGAAGAAGGGCGGTAAACTGTCCTTAAATGATAGTGGAAAAAATGGTGACAAGGATGGAAAAGGGAATTTAAATTGAGAATATAACCTTAACGATAAACAGTAATGAAGTGAAGCGAAGGTACGGAACCGCAAAACATTTGAAAAGACAATGGAACGTGATCAAATTGGAAGGGCAAATACCTTTGCAGATGTTTTCTGTGAAGACATCGTATGACCATGGACCTTACGATGTTCGTCCGCACGGAACTTCGCAGTATAGCGCGTGCCAATTCATTACGTAGAGCAGTCGTCGTTCGTATCATAATCTCGGATGATTCGAGGATCTTTTACTACCGATTCTAGTAGCAAGTCGACGGGAATTGGACGTGACACGATGAAGGGTTCGGTGGTTCGTTGTAACACCTCTCACGACGATGTCTACTATCGTCGTATTAGAGGTTATCGTAAAACACGAGCAAGAACGGACGATGCTAATAACGAATTAGAGGTCGTCCGCAAGGTCACGTGGCTTCAAGTTTAAAGGTGGTTCTCAAAAGGGGGTTATCATTGTTTACGAAGGGACGAAAGATCTAATTTTTAAAAGAAAACCGTAAAGGAAAGAAATAGGAAAGATAATAAAAAGAATCGGGAATTGAGAATGAAATTATAACGAAAACTTATGTCAATGTTATTTGGCTTACAACCAACAGTGCCAGCGATCAAATCGAACTTGCAATTTGATTTGCTAACACAAGATCTGATAAGATCAGCTTTATTTTACTTACATTTCACATTCGATTCAATGTTTAAATCAGTTTAGATTAGACGAACGATTTCTAGCGCGTGCGCGTTGACAAGTATGTCAGTGAAGTACATCGATCGAATGAAAAGGGCTATCGTGTAGATACTTGTTTTGGATAATTAATAATAGATATACAGTGATATATACAGATGCATACGTAGAAATACACATATAAATAAAATGTATCGATGAAATGATGCGATTCGTGACGTGATTTGTGATGCATATTTGTATACGTCACTGGTTTGATTTCGTCGTCAACGGGCGCTCATGCGCAACAAATCTAACCAGTTTCTAACAAACCCGATCGAGCGCTAAAGATACTAGCGGTGATTAGAAGAACTGTGGCTCTTTATTATATCCTGATGTGCACAAATTTAAATATAAATTTCAAGAATCGGTTGAAATGAGAAAACGAGACACAAGTAAAGCATCGAAGATAGATGGGTCCGAGACCAAGGATGAACAAAATCTAAAACACGATGAGGGAAAGTTTATATTTGAGAATGGGGACATTTATGTTGGAGAATACAAACTTGATCATGAACGGTTTGTACTGGTTAAGCAAGGTTAACATTTTGCATTATTTTTCTAGTTTTTACGTGGGGTTTCCATATTATTCAGAAATACATATACGTATGTACATAGTATGTATTAGGTTGTCCCGAAAGTTTCTTTCGCGAGTTGCACTCAATTACTTTATGTGGTCGTGTTTATATAAATAGACAATCTAATTTCATAGATATTCATGTTGTAACAACAATGGAGCAAAATGAATCATGCACAATTCAGTAATGTAACATAAAACATAAACTATTGTGCATGTATTATTTATTAATAAAGCGAAAGAAACTTTTGGGACAACCTAATATTATATACAATAATGTATAGTCTGCGCGTATATTTTGTGTAGGAAGAGGAGTGTACAGAACCGATAACTTTGATGTATACGATGGAGAATGGGATAACGATACTTTTGCTGATAGCGAAATTGACATTCGGTAATTAGAATTTGTTTTAGACGTGCTGAAATAATTCTTGACGATACTTTTTAAAGTTTAAATAATAAATACACGAATGACTGAAGGTATAATAACGATGCTCGGTATCGAGGTAAAATCGATTCGAACGGAAGAATAAGCGGCCAAGGAACGTACACGTTTCCCGACGGATCCACTATTCGAGCCGATTGGTTTGAAAATAAACCGTTTAAAAATATTGTTTATCGAGAGCCCCTAGGATTCGCGTGGGTAGTAGAGAACGTATCGAAGAATGTAAACGAATCGAGTGTAATACATATTTGATATTTTCAATATTTTGCGATAAAGAGAAATAATTTTAATTATAATCGCAGATGATAACGTTTTCTTCTGGGAACCATTTCTGGAACGACATGTTAACGGATCAAAGCATCGGAAATGGTATCGAATCCGCTGAAGAAAATTAACTCTATCGAGCTCGCAACGAATCGAAGAACTTGTTAGTGCTTTTCGTTAATGTATAACTGTATACTGTTTTACATCGTGAGTTAACTGTTTCAGTGTTTTTCTTTGTTTTCACTAGGCGCACTCGTCAGTCCTCTTTATATAGCGACGGAACCCTAAATTTACTTATAGGAGATTTGAACAAAGGATTTTCTGTCAAATTATTCATAGCTTTTTTCCGTTCTAGCTCGAATTTCTCGTATTCCTGTCTGTCTTTTATGGAAGTCCAACACCTGTATACACATATTTTAGTAAATATTTGAAATTTCATTATATATCAATGAAATGGTAACGCTCAAATTTAATCAAATTTTAACCTTTTACGGATTACTTGAAATTATTCACCGGTATAAATATTAGGTACATTGGTAAAATGATGAAAGACAAGAAACGTAAATTTTATCCGTTCGAGTAACGAGAGTATCCAAGAATGAAAAGATTGTTTTTTATAATAATCGTAAAGGGATACTCACTTCCAAATTAACAAGCAACCAAGTCCAACGAACAATATTAGAATGGTGATCGTAGACGAAATGACTGCTGCGTTTATCGGAGTGATGCATGTCTAAAGACGCCGAAATCGAAGGAAACGATTAAAATAAATTGGATAGCGTAGGGAAAATATGAAAGAATCGTTTGTAAATGAAAAATCTTGATAAAAATGTGACCTTCTCACCTTCTCCCCAATTTTTAAAAGGACACCGTTATTTTTTTGAAACTCGTACACATAGTGTATGATGCACGTTTGTCCTTCTTTCGTTACCTTCACGAAACAGTAGTGTACGTTTCCTGTAAAAGTTAAATTTTATTCAAATCTAGATTATCCGCAGATCTTGCAATCATTTATTTGGAGATTCGGTGTTTATTCGTACCTACATCTACGGAGTCAACTCTTTCGGTACTGTAATCGGAAACGTTTGTTCGACAATATTGGTCTATCGTCCGAGGGTTTTCTATGGTAGCGTTCACGCAAGGGTTGTAGAGGGGGCATAGCATACTTCCACGTACACTGATCGATGATTCGCAATAAGTACCTCTGTAATACGAACCGTCTGTTGCGGTAACGTTGCATCTGAAAATGCAATGGATTTGTATTATATAACGTATATGTCATGTTAATATAACGCTACATATACATTACTATAAATTATGTAGCTAAACTACGAACCGACATTCTCCGCAATCGCAATATCCGTGATCGGAGCACACGTTTTCGGTTCCTGGTGCGATGCAGGGGTAATCGTTCGAAGGACACTGGCAGGCGTTTCCTTTCCACCCTTTTATACACTGACAAACACCGCAATTGCACGTTCCTATGCCCGCGCATTCCACTCCCTTCCACTAACAACGAACAGTTTATTTAGAGTTTGTCAATTATATGTACGCATGTATGAACGTAATTACCTTGTCGCACGCGGAACATTCGCAAAACTGTCCTCTGTATCCTTTGTCGCAAACGCAACTCCCGCAAATGCATTCGCCTCTTTTAGAGCAAGTATTTGTCGCGTTTGGCCCGACGCATTGCAATCTATTCTGCACTGGTGATGTTTCGTCGCAATTGCAGTCATCCCCTGCAAACATACCGTTCAATTATTCGAAATCGAAGCGAAAATCGAGGTTTGACTGATAACTCTTACCAGTCCATCCGATATCGCATTTGCATAAACCGCATTCGTTCGTTCCATGACGACAACGCGAGCTGTCGGTGTGTTCGCAATTGCAGCCGCAGAGGAGTTGAACCTCGATCACCATTCTGGATGCTTCGGATGCCAACGCGTCCTCGATCACGACTGTTTGTTTCTGAAAAGTGGAAAGTATCGTAAGAATTTGATCGTGGAATAGAAAGAAATTTTAAAGAGTTTCAATGAATCGTGTACGATGTAGATTTATGGTAACGTGTCACCGATTCACTCGCATACCCAGAGACTCTCGTTTCTTGGACACTTGTCGAAAGAGAAAACAAGCTCAAAGTTGTATTCTTGGCCTTCTCGAACCCCGTCGCAAGCGTTCTCTCCTCCGCAGTTGGAAAAGTACTCCAAACGAAGCGGGCTCGATGAATTGTCGCGCAACACAACTCTCGAGATCAGCTTGTAATAGGAATTCTCGATGATTTCTAAAATGTTGGAACTGTCGCTCGTTAACGTCGCGACTTCCGCCTTTTCCTCCAACAGAGCTGCCATCAACTCGTACTCGGGACGTCGATCTTCCGTTACGGCGAATATCAAATTTACTTTCTTCCTCTGCAGCAATCTCCACACCTCTTCTAAGGAGGGGTAATCGTATTTCGTGGCCAACGAATATCGTCTTTGTTTGTCGAGGTGGCATTTCAAGTCTTGCCGACTCACGGCACCACCTAGCTGACAGTAATTTCATCGACCTTTCAATTTTCACGTACTCGACAATTCCCGTTGTTAATTCCGTCGAACGATCGAGTAGGTAGTTGGATTCGTGACATTTTTTATCCGATTAGTTATTTTGCGTTACCTTTCCCTCGCCAGCAAAATGCAATAACCCATTGGTAGCCACTAGTATGATTTTTCGCGCTTGTTGTCGCCAGCCGACCTCTTTTTCGCATACAATCGCTTGAACGATTCCGTCCAATCCTCCTTCTAAATTGTCGGCGTTCCCAGTTACGGAGCTGTAGTTTACCTAGAATAAATCGTACTTGAATTTCTCGATATTTCCCTCTTTCCTCTCCGTCTGTGTCGCAAATATTAACGGTTACTTTTTCAATGAACTGCTTGATATCGTCGGTTAGCATCAAATGATGTTGAAAAGAATAGAGGGGCGCGCAACGCGCGTGCTCGCTTTTACAAGGATTATCCTCATGCCCGGGGAGAACATATGGCATCAACGGCTTGTCCGCGTAGCTGCCGAATCCGATAAGAAAATTGCTAGTGAATTTGTTGATCGTAGTAGTCATGTTCCATCCTAGGCTGACCAGGGTCTCTTTGTCATCCCTCATCGACCACGTTAGATCCATCAGGTAGTAAAGATCCAGAGGATAATTTCTAAATCGTTCCGAGTATTTAGTATGTTTATCTTCTAATATAGCTGCCGAATCTAGCTGAATTATGATTATGAATAAATAAACGTACTTGGCTGGCCGATAAGAGAGTGGTACCGTTATTTTCGAATTGGGCCTAATTTTAACTTGTACTCTCTGCGGTCTTAATTGAACGGGTGTTTGCCCTACTACATCCGCATCTTGAAAGTTGGAATTCTCCACGAGCTTGATCGATTCCGGTTCAGCGGTAAGAATTTCTTTCTCTGGGCAACCAAACGCCTTTAACATCTTTGCCTCGTTGCATCTTGATTGAGCGAGTGTCGAGTTTGAATAAGACTATAGATACACGCACAGACAAAACAAAATATGAAGTCAAAATTATTTTCATTTATTTTAAAAAAAGTCCAAACTGTCCGCTCTTCGCTGCTATTACAACAAATTACAAAAACTTTCATTTGTAATGGCACCGAATCGGTGCAATTTCTTTCCTTGCGTAGTAGTAAAAAATTACTAACATATAATCGCAAAATACTCTATAATCCAACTTTTTCTTCTTCTTCTTCTTCTTATTATTATTATTATTATTATTATTATTATCTGTACGAAATAAAATTTTAGAAAAATTACCCAGTCGCTGCACCATGCGCAAAAGGAGTTGGCCTCGAGACAATCCTGACAGGAGCTTTGGGAAACGCACAGTTTCGATATTTTTACATCCAGAGCTTCGGATCGGCTCCATTCATGGCACATAACAATCGCGAATAACAGCGCTCCAAAGTTTGTCATTGTCACGATTACCCGACTGGTTCGATTAGATTAAAATCTTGTACATAGTAGATCTTTTCGTTCTTTCGTTTTACGCGCCGACAACTGATGTATCTATAAATTATGATTTCCCTCAAAGAAATTGGAGATTCGCGTCGACGATTTCCTGTTTTCGCGATTACTATGGAAGAAAATTTAAAACGTAACGTAACTCGGGCAACTTGCACGGATAGTTCTGTAACGCGTCAGTTATCTGCACTATGATAACGATATGTAGTGTTTTCGTTGGAATGAAAAAGGTAGATAAAGTGGATTAAGTTGATGATTCAGTCGACTAATAACACGATATCGACACGAATTCGACTGCACGGTTTTATTTTATTCGTTTGCAACGTTGCAATCTGTAAGCTGTAAGATGTAACTATTTTACCCGGCGGAGTTGCACGAAGACTAACCCATCTGTAGAGCGATATGTACTATTTCGCATACACATGGTATCGCAATTCCGATTGGCTTCTATCTGTAAACGATAGTGCTCGTGGAACGTATATCTATTTGTGTGTGGTTTTATTATCGGCGTGTTTCGTTGACGGTAAGTAATCAAGAGGTATAAAAGGTGACGATTGGCCATACTATTCCATAGATCTGTATGTACAACGATTACGTTATCGATTGCTGATATAATCGGAAAATCGGTATTTGAAACTGCACGATTCTGTTTAGTTATCGCATGAGCTGTCGAGAGCCGTTGAGTAGCATTAATTGTGAGACCTGTGAGAAACCGATTTCAAATCCTCGAATAGCGCGGAACCGAGAAAAGTGTTATTTTTACTAAAATTCACAGTAAAAAATGCAACTACGTACAAATAAAAGAATCTCCGTGTATCGCGGATAACATATGGCACTCGGTTCGAAATATGTAAATATTTTGGCGGTATCCGAACCCAACCCAAGGCAACGTACCATTTCATTCCATGAATCGGTGGTTCAAGTAGGTTATTATGTAGATATTATACAAACTTTATTTTTCTGTTTGACACGTGTGTTTCCTCACCCCAATTGTCGAACCGTTAGATGCGTTTTGACAAATAAGCGCATCCACGTGTCTGTTACGTTACAACCACAAGTTAAAAATAGAAAAGTCTTAGGTTATTCTTATGCTATAATATAATAGTTCTAACGTACAACAATTTTTTAACGTATCACATCGGAACCAATTATGTTAAATCCTACCCGTGTCTTATTATATTTAATTAACGAATCGCTAAATCTAACTGGAGAATTCTTCCTTCGATTGTACGTATAAAACGTTAATAGACTATTTGGAAACGTCAAAACGAACCAATTTCGTTCGTTACACGTGACATTTTTCCTTAAACGCGACGTGTTGTCATCTAGTGCGAGCAACGAAACGCGTTTAAAACTTTCACTACTAACCGTTTTAAAGCCATTATTTTTTAATATAGCTAACTAGAAACAGCGTGCTGACTGAAGTAAGGCTTCCCGTCATCCTCCTCCTCCTTCGTGAAATATCAGGTTTCTCGAGTTTGGTCCGTGTTACTACAATAGGACTCGCGACAAAGAACAAAGACAAAGACGCTCGCTCTACGATAACAAAGTCCACTTTGTTATCCCACTCCCAATTTCGCGCAACGACTTGCTTAGAAAAAGAAGCAAGACGCTTCGAGATCGAGACGCGATAAATTTCTAAAGTATACCCGGTACGTTAAATGTATAATACGCCTTATAATTACGCCAGCGTTATGAACGTATCGTGGACTGACAGTACGACGTACGTTTACAAACATTTCAGATGTATCACGAGTCGATTACATAACGATTAAGGCTTCCTTTCGGAACTGGAAATGCGTCTGGTTAATTGCTGATGGATGCTGGCACCATTCTGATCCTTGGTCAATACGTTGGGAACACTTTCCTTCCTGACGGTTGACGTCGTATGCAAGTTCGTGGGAGTGCTAAAATCGTTTGGAACCACACCCTGGATGAACATTGTCGCGCATTTCCATGGGAAAGCCCTGTCAATCATCGTTAAGATTAAATTAGAATTGTCCAATACTATTTTTTTGTTATTAAGGTTATCGGAACACTTTACCATTTCAGGAGGAGGAAAATGTAAAGGTAACCCGGCACTACAGCGATTTTCTCGTTACACCTCATAGCGGACACCACTCGGTCGGCCACTTCATTCGGGCTAAGCGTTGGGACAAATCTGGAAAGTCAGATTAGTCAGATACCTGTCGTGCGTAAGTATTCGTGAAAACTATACACCGTGTTTAATAGATTTCATCTAGTCTCATCTCATCTCATTGCATACGATTTTATTCATTCGATACAGGTAAAACTATATTTATGTATACCTAGTCGCAATCTCTGTGAACATGCCAGTACTACGAATGAAAAACGGACATATCACCGTGGTATTGATGTTATATCCCTCAGCCTAGAAGATACAATAAGCAATATGAAAAAAAACATACCCTAAAACAATTATCGTAAGAGAGTTCTTTCTTATGTATCTACGTGTATTCTCGAATGAAATTTAAACGACACCGTTACCGCTAGTTCCATGTGTAGTGCTTCCTCGAAACCAACTGCCGCGAACTTGGAGGTACAATAGTCTACCAATGATGGTACTCCTATGTGTCCAGCCAAGCTAGCTATGCTTACGATATGACCCTTGTCATCCGCCATCATCGAAGGTAAGAACGCTTTCGTTGTCTGAAAAAAATTATATTACTGTTAATTCTTTAAAGTACCGTTTATACGACTTTCGTCAACCATTAAATATAGAAAAGCAGGGACAACACCAAGGAGCCAAGGAAAACTATGTATTATCGCCACCGGATGGCCCCCTTCGTATTGTGCAATTTTATTTCAGCAAATATGCCTGTGAAACTTATAGTTGCTAATAGTTATTGCTCCATCCTATATGTATAACAGATAAGCAAGACTCGTACAACCGAGCATCGCGACGACAGCGTCAACGTATCGAATCGTATTGGAAAGTGGATCGATCAATTCTACCGAAATGACCGTGGCAACGATCGAATGGAGCAACAAGTCATTGTTTGTGGTCCCTTTACACGCGATAGTCGACGTATCTTCTTCCGATTCTCGCAATGCAAAAACTATGCAAAAACTATGTGATGTAACGAGTCACGCGAAATCGGTATTCGTTGTCTAGCCGCGCGGTACAATTTCCTTTCTTCGTGTCCCGAATCCGATAAACTTCGACTAATTGTACGATAACGAGTGTTTTCCTAAAAGCGATTTTTATCGACATCTACGGAAAACAAAAATACTTTTTTTTTTTTAATATTTAAGTGTCAATGGAAGAATGGAAGTTGTTTTCTACGATTAGAAGCTTGAAAATAATTGCGTTAGCTACGGTTGCCACTCGTTTCCAGTATTATGCGAAAGCACGAGCCAAGATATAGCGAACATTCCTATCCAGGAACTACGTTTGGCAAGCGCGTTGCTTCTCGCGTGTCGCAACCGCGAGGTACGAGTGTACTGCAACTACATGGCCGAGTGGTTGCATCTATCCGACCGGTTTTCCCACCTGACCCACGGTAACGGTCCTAAATAGAGAGAACACGAGGACAGAAATGCCTCTCACTTGGACTTTTTTATCCATAGAGGGAGTCTCGGTTCTCGGTTTTTCAATTTCAGGCTCGAATCTGCAGAATTGCAATCGCGGTCAATTTTACATCGGACCATCGGAAGAATTTGATGATCATCGAACGATACATCGTACATATATCAAACTAAAGTATAATAGCAAATCGTCCGTTTGCGAATGCTTAGAGGCTAGTCCTTTACTCCATATAGAAATATTAACAAAATTTACGGAAATCGAAGTAAATAAAAGTGATGACTCGAGTTTACGTTTACGTGTTTGAAATTTGAAATCCATGTACATACTGTATACATTGTTCCAACGCTCGAGCACGACGACGATAAGTACTCTTACCGCGCGTTGAAATCTCTCGAGCACAGATGGTCGTAACGTAACGCTAACAACTTCACACTCTAAGTACCATGTACAAAATCGATTGTTACGTTAAAATATTATCGTTCAATGTAGAACTATCTATAATAATTGTAATCGTCGGATAGGTTTACGGATCTCTACGACTACCCGTTACGCATCGGTCTATTTTTTATGCAAATCGATTTTTTTCCACCTATGTACATCTGATCAGGGACATCGCGTCGATAAATTAAACGATGTCGGTCGCGTTGCGTTGAACGCCAACGAATCAGATAAATACCGAAGAAGATGAAAACGTACCCAAAAGTGACTCATCACGTTTACATCCATCGTCCGGATAATGAGCTTGTCGGGTGTGTCCAGAAATTTCGTCCTGTTCACGATACCAGCGTTGTTTATCAATATCGTTACCTGCAACATCCGTGTAACGTAATTAAGATTAATAATCCGGAAACAAATTATACATTTTATTCGTTGCTGTCTGCTCTGTTAAATGGAATATACATTTTGGGACGACAGGACAGATTTTTAACGAAAAAAAATAAAACAAAAATACAGTGTGGTATTCCGGTTGTTTCGAGTCTTTTCCTTTTCGAATATGTCAACGGTATATTTAAACGTTACACGTGCTTAGCGCAATACATAATTTCGTAATTTATCGTCTCCAGAAGCACGATAGTCTCGACAACGCGTTATCGCGCCTAAGATCTTCCAAGTTACGATGCGAGACTAAAAGTAGACGTTCACATTTGGCTCTAGTGTGCAAGTTTGCCTTTCCAAATTCGGTATACTGTACGATACCTATCGAAAAAGTAAAAATGTTTTTTTCATTCAAACAGGGTTACAGTTTTCGGCGGTATTTCTCATTAACTTTTTCATTCTTTCTATTTCTATCCGTTAAGTAAATATTATGGATTTTCAATTAGCGCAACAGTTACGGATTTCTCACCTTTCCAACTTCTTCTTTGACCAATGCAGCTTTTTTGTAGACATCCTCCCGATCGCATAGGTCGCAAATGTAACCGTAGCATGTTCCGCCTGCGGATTGCACCAATTTAACGGTTTCTTCCATACCTGGAACAAAGAACAAAAAAATGGCCTTTGGTCGATGAAACGGACACCGTCTTTTGGATCGAAACGACATTAATTACTTCAAAGACGGATAAAGAATTTCTTGTTATTTTTCGTCTACTGTACCAGCATAGATAATCTGTATCGTTGGACGTCGATCGAACCTAACAAATGCTCTTCGTAAAAAAATATATCGTAATCGTAAAAAAAATATATATTTAAATAGAAACAAATAATACAAATGTTTGTTTATCCAGTCCCTATCTATCGCCCATGAACAAGTTTAAGTGTATTCTCGTATACCGCATACAAAAATTAACGCATACAGCAAGATCGCACAAAAACAGGTTTCACGAACACGATTCCTCCTATCTTGGTATGAACTGACTCTAAATGTAAGTGTTTGTGCCAATTTATCATCGATCTGAATCTATTCGATTCCTCTATCATCTCGCAAACTAGTTTCGCGAGATTACTTATTACGTACTTTGATCAACCTTGCCACATGTTTTTCCAAATGCTGATAGTTTACGGTACAAAGATTCGCGATACAACGTTTAGATCGTGGATAATGAAAGGGTATAGCGAACGAGATATTACGAACACCGAGAATCGAGCAAATACTTCGTCGGCTGGTAGTTACCCATATGTTGCGAGTCTGTTAGCTAATACAGTGTTCGTTTTGTTGTCTGCGCGATCCACGGAGAGGCCGAAGCAATTTAAGCGCCATTCATACGTGACGTTTTACGCCGGACAGTGCGTTGTCCAAGTCAACCGCTGTCCGAACACCGACTCGCGAACCTACGTATGTAACAGCCTGTACAGTTGTACAACGTATATTGTACATACATACGTCGCATCGCGTCGTATCGCGGTCGTGCAGTTTTACGTAGAAAGTTTTGAGACGAGCGAAGAAGCGGTTGTCTCGCTTCTTGGCCAAGTATGCTACGCGTGCTCGCGTAAAATATGAAACATATTACATAGTGCGCTAGAACTATTCAAAACGGCCGAAACCGCCCACCAAAAGCAAACGCACGCACGCAAGCGAATTAGTTGCGATGGAGTTTCATTTTTACAACGGTCAACCAGTTTACGAAGCTGATCTCGGCCAGATCTACTTGCACGACCTTGACTGTTCGAGCTCTTTTATTTGGTGCACGCATCCAAGCACTTGCTCACAAGATAGACGTAACTTTTCTCAAAGGACTTTTCGATATTTCTAATCGCCTAATTGCATAGTTCGCTTTGGACGTCACGCGTCCAAGTTGCAAACGATATACTATACCGATAGCCAGTTGCTGGTTGTACGTAGTTAGGTACATCCCGACCGAGCTACGCGCAATCAATATTCTGCCCGCGAGTTTCAAGTTTGCGATTGCCGACGCTTAAAATTCGTTACGCGACCGAGCTTCCTCTGCCCGTGAACCCGAGCGGTCTTCTTCCCTCTCGCGGCAATTAATCTGTCCCGCGATTTTTATCATTTTTATTTCATCGACCTTCCGCTTCGTTGCTCAACGTTACGGGATCGCGTTGCGCTAGCGTTACGGCTTACGGCTATGCCTCGATAATCATTTAAGAAACGCGGGAAATTACAACTCTCTAAAGTTGATGCCCAAGGCCGCTACTCGAATTTGACACGACAATTCCGAATCACCAAGGATCCGAAATTCGCAAAGGTATCGTCTGCCTCGTGAATACGAGGATACATTTATATGTATTTTATAATCCTCGAAGCTACGGAATATTGAATGCCGAGCGTGCGGCTTTACAAGAGAGGTATGGAGCAACGTGCAGACAAAATGTCAAATGGCAAAAGAATCCTCTCGCTTAGCTATACGCGTTCGCCGCGAATCGTATAAATCGACCGAACGTTCGTAACTCCGAAAGTGTTGACATGATTTTTCTTTTTTTTAATAAACGATCACTTCGAAAGATTAACAGTTGCGAACGAAATGGAAAAAAAGACGTGCTCCGAAACTGTAAGATTCCGGCTCGGTTGTATGCAAGGACGCGATGAGCGATGAGACATTTGAGAAACGAGCGCGAGCATCGACCATCGACTTCGAGGACTGATCGCGTTGGAAGTTCGAGCACGCTTCGAACGGCCTTGAGATTCGGATGTTAGTCGTTACGAGGATTTTCCACGATGTTGCACGGTAATTACTCGGACGATATCGAGTCGTCCTTTGTATTCCAGTCAGGAATCGAACAATGACTGTGCTACTCCGATGTTAAGGCTCGAGGAGCGATCGTTCTCACAAATTTTCCCTCGAGAAACCACGCGATCCATCGCATCGCCTCGAATCCCAACATTTTTCTATTTCGGCGTATTATTCGTTCGGAATTCGTTTAAGGATTCACGAAACATTGCCTCGAAATCGTTTGCCTCGTTGAACAAATTTCTGTGAATTTCGCAAACTTTATAATCTCGTCGCATATTACCTCTTTGCAAGAAATTCCTTATTACACTTGCCATTCGGTTCTTTTACACGTATTCATCGAAAAGGTGCTCACCGGCTTTGTTAACGTCCCAGATAACGACGATGGCACCGAGATTGGCTAACCTGAGGGCGATTAGTCTACCTAGGCCGCCCCCTCCCCCGGTCACCAGAGTTACCTCTCCGGCGATGCTCTTCATCTTGTATTTCATCGGAATAAACGATTTGACGATGCCCTTGACGATGGAGGCTATCGCGAGGATCACGAAACCGATGAAATTCCAGGTAGAACTCAGGAAAGACATGGTTATCAAGTACCGAAAGATACTCGGGCACGAATCTTCGGCGTAACAACCGTTTAACGCGTTTGTCGTGCAACGCGACTCTTGTAGCGATTCGACGACGAGGATCGATCACGATATCATAACTTGAGCCAGCAAGGGATGCGTATCGATCCTTCCGAACGCGGAGGAGAGGATTGTCGTCTCGAGGAGGCTAGCCGGAAACCGGGCAAAAGTAGAAACGTCGCTTGGCACACTTCTGGACTCTGGAACTCTCGCGGACTCGCCTGGAAAGCAAGGGGTTAATCTTTATTACTAACCAGTTAAGTCGTTTTATTTTTTATGGAAAGGGGTTTTCAATCGCTGTCGTTCAATCTTTGATTTGAACCTGACATGACCTGTAAGTTTTCAACTGGACCATCCGTCGCCCATCAAACGTAATATAACATAACGTAACGTAACGTAAGACAACGAATACTTTGTGTAACGTATGACAAATACAACGGATGCACGAACAGTAACTCCATCAAGGAAGGAAAAGAACATCGGTTACATGGTTGCGATAGGAATAAAAAAGGAATATGCGAATGTAATTATTCTTCTTTGTAAGAATGTGATTATTATTTCAAGGTACTCGTAGCGGACGAGTTAATACTAAATAGCTGATACGAAAGGAAAAAAATTTAGCGAGAAACAAGCTTCACGTATAATCGAAATCTGTGGAGATGAGGAGAAGAATCGAAATGAGATCTCCAAGATTCACGCGCGTTCGTTCATTTATCTGATCGCTAACCTTGTTACTCGCTCTGGTCGCCTAGAAACTAGTGTACACTTTCTCTGAATTTCGTATCGCTTTCTTCTCCCTACAAAACGAAAATCAAAGTTGCGCTTCTGAAAACAAGACGAGAAATCACGAAAACGTTCCTGGAAACGAAAAGAAAATAATTCTGTTTCGATTATCGTTCGATTACGTAACGACTATCTATTTGAAAGAACTCGAAAACAATAAGTACGAATTAATTGAAAATGCAAGAGATAATGTAAGAGAAACTTACAAGGAAGAAGATTCGATGTCGAATATATTGGATTGGTTAAAGGTGGCATTTGAGAAACACCGATATATACCTACATGCGTACAGATGAAATATTTTGTAACTCTACCATTTTCCAGACAGCTCAGCGTTACGCGTCGAGCGAACTACGAATATCTCAGCGACTGGTAATTCGCTTTCTAACGAGACGCGAAATTCACTTTCAATTTTCAGTTGGAGAATACCGCGCGAAGGATGCGTATAATCTCCTATTTACATTTCATTATTTCGTTATCGTCGATACAAGAATAATAAAAATGAAAAATGAAAAATAAAAAAATCACTCGAAACTAATCGACATTCGTTAGAGTTCAGTTAAGTTGACTTGATTCTGAATTATGGAAATATCGTTTAACCTTATCTAATCTTTTTTTTTTTTTTTTTAGTCGACGACCAAATTTCATAATAATCGTGATGTACGGGCTCATAGAACGCGTAATTCTTTATGAAAACGATTGCAAAATTTGTAATACTTACCAAGTAATTGGTATTTTAATTTATCGTGCGTATTATACGTTCGACATATTCATTTAATAGTTTTGTTTTCTGCTTGTTTAGGAGAACGATTTATCTGGAAGCTGAGCGGTCATGTTTTTGCTCGAGGGTATCATTAATAGAAAAAAAAAGACACAGTAAGTTTCTCTGGTTGTTGTGCTGTGATAATACAAATTTTTAGCGTACTATACTATACGCAGAACACTTTCTCGAGTATTGAACGAAACTTGACGAGAAATCGGAAGACAGCTTTCAGAATTGTCCACGGTAGAGACGACCGCTACCGGATCGGATCGAGCGAACCGGTACTAATACGCGAATTTAATTTGCGATCGCTGTGGGTCTTCCGTTCCCGCGCAGTCTCGCTCGCAACTTTCGATTATATTTTGTACGAGTCGAACGAGAAGGAAAGTGAGGAATAATCGACGCAATGGTATACAGAAAGAATCACCGTTGAAGGGAAATCGAAAAACAGAAAAGAATTTCTGTTTGTAACGGATACGATTTTTCAACGAAATAATGTTGTAAAAGAAGGAGGGGGAGGAGAAGGAGAAACTAATAAATTAAGTGTGAACTACATAAAAAGGAATAAATAGAAAAGAAAGCTTTACCAGGCAACGTTAATCCTTTCGAATGTTTCCGAAGTAATGCTCACTCGCGATCTCGAATGGAACTTCGTAAAGTATGGTGAAAGAACGAAGCGAGACGTACACGAAAGTGCGTACCTATGCGAAAGTTGTCCGCGGAAGCAGAACAAGACGAGATTACTGGTCTCGCCGGCACTACGGTCGTCGGTCTACTGAATGAAACGGCCGCACCGTGCTTCGACGCGGCTGCGGCCGCGGAACAACTTTACCCTTTCGAGTACTCGAGTCTCGACTCGACGATCTCCGACAGCAGTCGCCGCGAAACGCGAATCAACGAGAAACACAGCCCAACAACTATTACTACCACCTCGGTAATTGCATCTGCATCGATCAACCATACTACTACTACCTACCTATCTGTTCTCGATTCGCACCCAAACAGTTTCCAATGAAACATTTTTACAAATTCACCGACGGTATGATCTACGTTTCAGACATTCAGATAATTGTGCCATGCCGTTCGAATACATCAGACACATCGGTACAATAATAGAAACAGAGTTCAAAGATAATTGCTTTGCAGCAATTGCGAGCGAATGTCGTATAAAGATTACGATACATTAGCATACAATCTAATTTAATGTAATCTTCCGCTTCGTCCTCGAACGTCAGTTTAAAAAATAAAAAAAGAAATTTTTTTCCGGTACGCGACTAATTTCAAGAAATTTGTTTAAAAGTAACCGTCATCGAACGGCATTGTATGGAAAACGGTAACTATCATCGACGGCATTATATGGAAAGCGAACATGACATGTGTCGAAGGAACGTTCAAATATTAAATTTCCTGAAAAATTATTTTAAACGTTACATATCGGAAATAATTGTTGAAAAGTAGAACGGGAATGATCGAACAAATGTGTAAACAAATAGGGAAAAGCTACCCAAGGAGATATTAAACGTTTCGAGTTGTACCCTATACGCGGATAAATGAAGGAATTAAAAAATTTTCGTCCGAGAGAAACCAATTTAAAAGTTTGGCGTACGGTATCAGACGTACAAGTATTTGGCAACAGGTGACGAAAACTTTCTACGTGGTAAAGTAAGACGAACATTGGAACTGACGAAATTATGTTTGAGGTTTCGGGTCCGAGTAATTAATTTCTGAAAATATACGTAAAGAACGTCGCTAGAGAGGGATCTATACTACATGTGTAAGTACTTATTGCCGACACGCGGGCGTCAGCTGACTCACGGCGAGGACAGTGCCGTAGTCATGTAGAAGAACCCACCACCTACCTCTTAAGTAGTCGTAAGTGCATGTAAGTACACGTATTCATAGAATACGAGACAAGCGGGACCTTATAGCTTATAGCTTCTAGATGACCGCGACACTGTACTCGCTGCGAATCGATAATGTTAGTCCGTCGAACTCAATTTCCTCGATCTTAATATTCGTTGCATTTTCGCACGTAGAATCACCTCTTCATGGTTCGTAAACAATGTTGCCGAATATTCTCGATGTACAGGTAATTCGATTCAAAGTCCTACAGCTTTGCCTTTCTTCGGGAATACTTTCGAACGACGCCGGCGCTGCTATTTGTGTTTCTCTACACGCCGACGTGAAGGTGTTAAAGAAACTGCAAGAAAATAAAAATCGTTTTTTTTTTTATACCTTTAGAATTAGACACACCTCTTTACAACGATATAGAAAATTCGAAGAAATCAAAACATCAGGTATTCGACCGATTTTCAAAGGATGAAAAAGGTTCGGTTTCCACAGGGGTCTGTTTTTCGCCTCTTCGTAACACCGCGCTGTCTAGTTTCATTATAGCTCGTTGTTCTCATAATTTACGAATTAGAACACTGCCGCTTGTTGAAACAAAATGCTCGATGATCGTTCGACTCGCGTCCACCGACCCGTGCGTTTTCGTCGATCGAGAAATCGCAGAATGCAGAGTCACGAGAGTCGAGCGAACGAGAGACAAACAGAGAGAAAACCGATAAACGGCACGGATTATTTTTGCAGATTATTTACGTTTCGAGGGACGAAACGCGGACGGTCTGGTATCAAACGATTGTCAAAAGACCAACGAAATTTAGTGTGTCAAGGAGATCCGGTAGATACCGTGCCACCGATATAACGTTCAGTTAACGGAGATCGTTAACGTTAAATCACCGAGTATGCGAAACCTGTTGACCGTCTGGTCGGCGATATGCGCGCGAAAGAAATAAAAATCAGATTCGTGGGTGAAAGTTGCACCGCTGCAATCTATAAAGGATTATTGACTTACGCGTCTTTATGGTTCTTTAACCCTTTATTCGGTGAATTTCACTTTTGCAAAACAGAAACGTCCGACTGTATACGAAACAAATAATAACAATTTTTGTTTTTATTCAGAGATAAATGTTACGTTTACGGTACGTTCGATAGGTGGGAAATTTTGTTCGAAATTTTGTTCGAAATTTTGTCTCGCCGTGTGATAGTAGGGATTTAGGGTATTCGGTAACGTGAAAGCAACTCTCGGAATATCGGCCATCTCGTTTAAATAAATCGATCCTCTCTAATTATTTTGAGCGGAGTACTTGAAAACGATTTCTCGATGAAATCGAAAGTTACGTTTGAATACGAGAAATCTCTCTCTTCGCGACTCGAGTGGCCAAGCAATAGCTACAGGTTGTTCCACGACGACGCGACGCGATTGTAACAGTGAAAGCGACAAGTTGGTATAATTTTGAAACCCTCGCTACACCGGAACGCATTAAATTCTAATTTGTTAACGATTTCAATGATTCGACGAAAAGTTAATGAATAGTTAACGATGAGTCGCACTAACCAAAGTCTGCGATAACTTTTCTGCAACGTATTCCCTTTCGGCTAACCATTTCGACTTGTCCATTTTCACCTCTCTATGTTTAATGTATCGCAAAATGATAACTTTTAATTAGAATATCACTTCGCGATTGAATTTAAAGCGAAGAGGCTCGCAAAAGAATGCATTGGAATTCAAATTCAAACCTGAGTACCATTTTCAAGAAATAGTCGATAAACAAGTACATGTACTACTTTACTACACGTCGACAAAAGGTTGAAATTTGAAACTAATTGAAAACCTCGATCGATATATCGTACCTAGAACGTTAATATTTCCTCCGGTAGGTGGAGTTGCGCGTGTCGGGAGGCTGATTGGCTCGAAATTCAAAGATAAATTTCTGTTACCTCCTACCTCCTACCTACTCTTTTCTATAAACTGTAACCATTTTACTTACTTAAAAATTAATCCTACGGCGTTTCAACAATACGCGATCGTCGCTTCGCTCTCCTTTCTTTATGAATAATAATCGATCGCATTTTTATGCTCGCGCTCGTTAAATTTAAATATACAATATCATATTATTCTCGTATACAATAAAAATACCAAGGAAAGAAATCAATTAAATACGACGGAGACTTTATAAAGAAACGGGCAAAGTCGCAACTTTGTGGAATATTTTTGATTTAATTGTTTCAGGAAATTGACCTCCCTGTTATAGCATCTATTACAAGTTCAGTACACGTTCGCGTTACACGTACTTTGATCCTTGAACACCATAAGGAACAAAGAAATGTATAGACCCCTCCGGTCGTATGGACGGCGATAAAGTATACGATTGTTCGCTATACGGTTTATCTTTGATAAATTTATTCATCGATTCAGGTACGACTCATTACGAGGAGCAACGAGTTGCATGAACAATGAAACGGCGTTCTGAATTTGTCATTTGAACGCATGATTCAGACCTCGAGACAGACGAAGGTCTTTTAGTAAAAAGTTTCGTTGGAAATTTCGGCTATGCGTTGCGATAATATGTAATGTCAACTTGTCAACTTCCGTGTTCTTTCATTCCAATTTCTCTTATAACGCCTAGATGGTTACGAATCGTTAAACCAATGAGAAATGTGAAAAATTTCTTTTGCTTGGCGCAACTATCAATTGAAAATGAAATATGACGCTCGAAGATGGAGGAAATAGGGACGCTGTTGTTTCCATATATTTCTTTTCCTTTGTACGGAAAGAGTGCCGCCGACCTAGATCTTCGGTGCGATCCTTTCACCAGAAACGCGATAATTCCTACTACCTTCTAAAATTCTACACTTGGGGTGCTCGAAGCATAAATATTCGTGTATAGCTCCGGATATTTACAGAAGAAACCACGAATTAATACAATACAAATAATGTATATATAGTATATTTTCTCGCGGTTTCGCGCTCTACATACCTAGGTACGTAGCGATGGCCGAACACAGGTTCAGGAGAGCCGTAAAATGATAGGATAGCATCGGATAGGTAAAAGGAGAGAGGCACGGAAACTTTCACCGTAAACTTTGGTATAAGACTTCTCTAGGGTATTAGGAGTCTGTTATACATTATACTGTACTAGATCGAGTGGCCTATCCAGAACGAGTTCTACCGGTGTTACCATACTTACACTTCGAAACATTCAGGCGGGTTTACTTCTACCTCCGCTTCCTATAATTAAAATTTTTTTACAATGTTACGCCTTTACTGCTAAAATCGCTCGATACATGTCGATACAATCGATGATTTTACAAAATCAAGTAGAATTACTGCGAGTAAACATCGACTCATTTAATGCAACTCGAATCGAATAAACTACACGTTGAAGTATTCCCAAACGCGTAATCAAACAGAGATTGAAATTACGGCGGGAACGGCGCGGCACGAGCGGGTCTTTTAATTTGGTCATACCGCGAGATACTACGATACAGCGTCAGTCGACAAGAGTCGACCAACAGGTACGCAAGTACACCAAGAAGAACCGTTCTTCGACTCGTGTTGTTTCCTGTGCAATTCATAGTATTCGAGAGAAAAGCTTTCCTTGAAAAGGTAATGATTTTACCGAAAACTTTAACTCAAAATCTAGTGAAACTATCGTTAAACGTGTAAATGACAGTGTACAATTGTATCGCATTCGAGGCTAAACAACACAACAATCCAATTTAAAACAGAACAAAATTAAAATAAACGTAAATTGCTATAGAAAAACGGAATGAATTGTTTCGATGTTAAAGCATCGCGAAAAAGTATCGACAAAAAGAAACGTGAAACGAATTAGTGGTGACTTTTTAGTGTTAGAAAAACAGCAAGCAAACTCATTAAACGTTACTCAACTTGAGAATTATGTAGCTCTCCTCCGTTTAAAAAGACTCGCTCGTATTTCCGGACAAATCGTTCTTTCGTGGAAAATATATTTAAGGGAATAGATATTCGACGAAAATAAAATAAATTCTACCACGGACGCGGACGATGCATCCTTGGCTCGATTTGCTAGATTCCGAGGCGCAAGGAATCTTGGTAAAATCTTTGGCTCGATCGTAGATCGGAACCGCTGCGAGTTCTCTAGCTATTTATAAAAGTGAATGTACGATATGGCGATAAACAAAAAATGACAAAATCAGGATTGACGAAACATACGATATACGATGCATATTAGTATCGGTGATTAAGAAACGTAAAGACAGCTCGCAAAGGCTAGCACTCTACTTCTGCCTATAACGGGTTGGCTATTTATGGACCGACACTCGTACTTTATCAGAGACGCAAAGAACACGGTGAGAGCTACGTATTGTCACAAGATTTCACCTAGAGCTGTTAGTACCTTAAAGAGATGGGGTATATGCTATAAGTGAGATTTTACTTACTTGAAAAATAAATCGAATGAAAAACTTTAGCGAATAAATCAAAAGTTACAAATAGAAAAACTAATCTATATTTAACGATGAAAGGTTTTACAATTAAGCGTTATACGTATGTCGATCGGCACTTACATGTACGACATTTATTTTCGTTAAGTAGCAATTTGATGTGGAAAATGTCGATGGTTTCGCTGTTTAGGGTTACAAATGAAGCTACTGGAATTGATTAACGTAATATACGATCTATTACTGTTCGTGGGAATGGCATTCATTTATACAAGCGAGGCTATTTTATTGACATTCATCCCTCGACGATATCGTGGGAAATCTATCAAAGGAGAGATCGCTTTGATAACGGGAGGTGCAGGAGGAATCGGAAGCTTGATCGCCAAAAAATTGGCCAAGCTTGGAGCACACGTGGTTATCTGGGACGTTAACAAAATTGGCAAGTCGAAATCAATGTCAATACTCGTACAGTTCGTCGAAACTGCTACGAACATACATACGTACATCTAGAACTTGAAATTGCAGGTATGGAGGACACGGTTCGAGAAATAAGAGAAAATGGAGGGAAATGTTGGAGCTACTATTGCGATATCACAAACAGAGAGGAAGTGTACAAAACCGCAAAGACTGTTGAAATTGAAGTTGGTGCTGTGAGTAAATTACTACAACTAGAATCAAATAAAAATTAATTAGCAGCTGAAAACTATCGAGGCCGATGAGCTAAACCGTTCAGACAATCATTCTTACATCTAAACGTTTCCGTTACGTTGATACGCGCCTCTACTTCTAGAGCTCCAAACTGCCCTTACACTTTCGATATTGATTTCTAATTAATGACATCATTTTCGTATTATCATTTTCGTCATATTACGAATCTTTGATACTCAGGTAACGCTACTGATAAACAACGCCGGTTATGTTTATGGAAAAACGCTGTTAGATCTGCCCGATGAAATGATTGAATGCACTTTCAAAGTGAATATTCTCTCGCATTATTGGGTAAGTCTATCTGGACAATCTATAAAACTTGCTTTATCTATGAAACAATATTTTGTTGAGAGTTTGCGATTCGACAGATTACCAAAGCATTCGTGAGAGATATGATGAAAAATAATCACGGTCATATCGTAACTGTCGCTAGTATAGCTGGCCTCTTAGGAACTTACAATTGCACGGATTATTCGGCGACTAAATTTGCAGCTATCGGTTATCACGAGAGTCTCTTCAGTGAACTTAGGGTAAGAGTATTTTTTCGTTAGCTTTAATATTTTTTACTTGAATTTTCGGGTTTACGATAAGCGAATAAACGTTATCCTAGGCCCATGGATACGATGGGATTCACGCGACCTTAGTCTGTCCTTATTTCATCAACACTGGTATGTTTCAAGGAGTGAAACCCAGGTAAATATCAAATCGTTAACTTAACGCGTATCGATTCAAGTTCTTTCAAAAGATATACAACTTACAGATTGATGCCAATGCTAGAACCTGATTATGTTGCCGACGAAATTGTCTCGGGAATATTAGTAAATCAAATAAATGTTGTACTGCCTGGGATAGTTAGATACCTCTTACCGCTTAAATGGTAAGATACAACAATTTCTCTACTTTGCTTAATCTAGTTGAAAGAAAAATTATAATAGTCTCTTTTCTCTCTGTGTTAGCTTATTACCAGCAAAGTTGTGTTGGGCATTGATGTATCACATAATACGTGGACCTCAATCTATGATGATGTTGAACAAACAAGAGAAGAAACAAACATTGAAAGACAACAACAATGTTACGATACTTTCTAAAGAGACATACGTACACTGATACATACGAATTGGTGCAAACAATTGCGAATTACTACGAAAATACTCGATCGCGTTCGAATTTAATGGAATGTCATTGGTTATCAAGACTGAATATTTATCGGTATGTGTAAATTGTATTTGGCAATTAAAATTTTATATTTTTCATGTATATATTTATAATATTTATAAAAATAATTATAATAAATCGTAAAAGTAATTCAATCCCTGACCAAGCTCCCAAATAGATATGCCTGTACCTAATTCTGCTGCAAGATCCAGTCGATGCAGAATAGAATATAACGTTGGATAAAAAACATATCCATTGCCCCCTGATGATCTGAAATATATTCAGAAATTTCAACCGAGATCAAATTATTTATTATACATCTAAAATATTAGTTCTCTTATATTTTCGAATCCAATATGGGATGAAAAAAAGAAGTCTTACTTTGACTCAAAAAAGTGTTCTTTGCTGTTATCGTCCCACTGAATTTTCCCTTTAAAGGATTCGAGAATTTTCAAATAGTCAGAACCTAGAATGGCTCCGCCACCTTGAGGAGTGTAGTTGTATCCATAGAAATTAAGACCTAGCAATATCTGGGACCGTTTAGGGCCTTTTTCGGGTACTAATATCTCTACGCATTCTCTTGCCCAATCCAAGGGACTATTAGGCCCAGGACGTTGAATACTCGAATAATCGTAAGTCATTAAAGAAAAAGCTTTTAAATACGGCGACAACTGGTCAAAGTGATCTCGAGTAAATAACTGAACCTTCGGGCTAGAAGTTATAAGACGTATAGTATCGTTAAGTGATATTTTTCTTTATACATAACTGTGTTTTCAATTTCATTCGAGAATACACAAAAAGCAAAAGCATCGCCTGTTTAATAATCCCAACAAAAATATCAGGATGAAACCTACCCTCTTGATGGTGGTATTGCTAGAATTACATCCAAATCGTTATTTTTCAACTTTTCAGCTACAAACTGAATCACCGACACAATAATCTGGGTATCTGCACCCGAAAATACAAACTGGTTCCACATTTCGAAAACGTATCCATCGAAATTAAAAGTCTGAATTCGAAATATCGTAATTACTAGAATACATTACAGATATTTACCTAATTATATATGAATTCCTATAAAGACCTTAGCTGTATCTATAAGTGTAGAAATTAGTGCAAGCTGTTTATGCGTTTCACCATATAATCCAACTATATCATTAACTGACCAATTTTCGAACAATACTCTTGGTAAAACTGAAAACAACATTTACACCGAATAGAAAACTTCTATAATTTCAAATATTGTTAATATCCTTATAGCTTTGACGTACAAAGGTTGGACTATAATATTATAATTTTAAATCAAACATACTTTTTACATAATGGCTATCATTGTTTTCCAATCTCATATCTTTTAGCCATTTTCTGTTTATATCATGAGTTGACATGTCGTACGATTTACTGTTGCCACTTGGAAGTGTCAACCAGACCGGTGATACCATGGTGAATTTTCCATGAAATATTTTGGAAACATCGAGTCCATTGTTATTCCACTGTAAAAAGAGACATATTTTTAACATGCTTCGCATATTTGAAATAATCCAAAAAAGCATATCGACTCACTTACCGGTGTGATGTATCCTAAAACGTCTCCGGTAAATCGTCTGCGAGTAGTATTGGAAAAATAGAGTCCTGATTCACGAATAATATCGTGTGGTTTAGGATTTTTAACCACCAAAAATCGTGTGAAAACGTCCTGATCCGTGAAGTCTTTCTACAATTTTGACACGCGATCAAATTAAAACCTAATCAATCAATATTACATCTATAAAAATTTCGTGACTCCGTTTTCTCTACCTTACTCTCGATTTTTCCTTTACTTTTCCTATTACTTTTTCCCTTCGGCGGAGACAACGTACATGCCGACAATTGAACAAGTAACATCAAACCAATTGTTAGCACAAAAATGTTCATAATAATTATTCGTCTTTAATGTCGACTAATTGAAATCGTAAGTTATCATCGAATAATACACGTGGTTAAGTGTTAAACTTGTCACTGTCAGTCAAACCAAGTTAAAAGTTAAAGTTAAACTATTGTTTAAAGTATTTTGTAGAAATTGTTGACAGAATGCGCTACCGTCACCATGACCGTCACAACTCGTACTCGTAACTCGTGCATACCTGGCGACACTTTTTTTGATTAAATTATATATTTTTTTCGTATGAAAATTGATGAAGATACAACCGATGGAAAACTTGATCAAGAATTATTGCAGAAGTGCTAATCGAAAATGAATTTTCGACAATCGGACCTAACC